ATAGTAGGGTTCAACCGTTTCAATGTCTCTGCGTTAAACACTTTCTTCATTAGTAATGATGGACATTCAGAAAAAAATGACGGTTGAGATGACTCATATTTTTCCTCTCCACTTACAGACGGGTCTGATAGTGGCGTGTTACCAGGGCTACGTGGATGTGGTCATTGCACTCTCTCAGTGTCCATATGTGGACGTGAACTGGCAGGATAACGAAGGAAATACGGCTCTCATGACTGCTGCACAAGCAGGTAAGGGAAATTAAGGCATAAAATTACAATCAGCAACTCCCAGTAGATCCCCCTGGGCCTTCATTTGGCTGTTCTATGAAACAAGAGCCAATATATTATCCTTTATCATACTTAGGGTTAAAGTCGTGATGAAACAGAAGTAGCACCAAATCTTCTCTTTGCTATTGAGGCATATATCCAAGTGAAAGGGATTGTTGAAAAGGACAAAAATTAGGATGAGGTCTTGGTTCAGACAGGAGGTATATATAAATGAAAGCTTGCAGTCATTTGTAAGAAAGGGACTAAATGAATGGAGAAGTCCAGCAGCGGAAGATCCAGTTGACATTTTGATAAAAAATAATGAGGTATAAAAAGAAAAGAAACATGCATAGATTAACCATTCCAAAAGAATATGTTGCTTTGTATAAGTGTCTGCCAAATGCATTGTTGTAAATGTATTCTATGTCCTTTTGAATTATAGGTCACAGTATGATTACCAACTACCTGCTGAACTTCTTTCCCAGGCTTGACACTGAGCGCAGGAACTGCCATGGCTTCACTGCGATGATGAAAGCAGCCATGCAGGGTCGAGCCGAATGCGTACGGTCTCTCATAATGACAGGTACAGTATCTATCATCAGCTGAAAAATTCATATGGGTTCCTAATTTAGTTCATGCATACGTAATAATCCATTTTGTTCCTTCATGTGGGCATTCATTTTCCCTCATTGTCTGATGTTTTTCGTTATGCAGGAGGAGACATTGAAGCAAGGGACTTTGGCCGTAAGCTGACTCCACGGGAATGGGCCCTGTTCACGGGCCGCTACGAGACTGCCAGACTGATGGCCCGACTGATGGAACAGCCGTGCGCCGAACAGTTCTGTGACTCTTACCACATGGAGTGGCCTATGCTAAGCGAACTGGTAGCTCGTTCAAAGGAGCCCAAGTCCTGCTGGAGGAAGTTCTCAGAGTGCGTCTGTAACTTGTTTACCATCAGCATGAAGACCAACCCTGTAGACGAAGGCGCCATGGACTACATGGTGCGCATGACCACAGCACTGGCCAGCCCGTTCATAGCCACTGCCTGCCACACCGTGTGTCCGGGCAGCCCTCCGTGTGTGGGAAAACGTCTCCCTGCTGTCCAGGACATCATCCGTAAACAGCGCTTGGCTGAGCTGAAGAACCTCGGGCCCGAGCGCCTCAACAACTATAAGCGGCTCTTCCAGAACTCCAGGGTGCTGCTGGTGCCGAAGAAGCAGGAGCGGCGTGCCAGTCTGCAGCCGTAGTTACTGCAAAGCGTCGCGATGGCCTCCACCATGGCCCTGTGGAGAAGCAGCCTCCTGCCACTTCACATGATGCGCAGGAGCAGCGTCCGTCCTGGGATGGTGGTTCCTAAAGTCATGCTGTGCAAAGCACCTCCTTCCACATACATCCCGGAGCGTCCGCCGCGCAGGACTTCAAAAGACTTGTCGCACCTACAGATCCCTAAATGGAAGTACAAAGCTCTGAAGGAGAAGAAAAACGCTGAACGCATGGATAGGTTGAGACTGCCTGTTGGGAGGAAAAAGTGATGCCTTAGTGTTTTTAAGGATGTTTTCTACTGTGAAGGCTTGTGGTCAGTGTGAGAGTCATACACTACTCTTTTAGACTGCTATGGACTATAAAATATGGATGTTATCATATTTGCTCTTACTGATACATTAAGGCGTAATGATTATAATTTATAGAAACAGCTAACAAATTTAATAGCTTTTTTGGTTCATTATCTTGAGGCAAGTCATACTTCAAAGTTTATGCATACTAATTTCTGTTTTTTATATTGCTCTCAAAGACTGAATTTTTGAAAGGGAGTGTTATATTAAAAAGCTGCTAAACATTAAACATAACAATGGACTTTCATAACAATTAAATAGCCTACTATATTTGGTCTCGACATGCTCTCTTCTATTACCTCTATTGATCTCTTTTAAAGTTATTAATCCAGTATTGAATCTGCATTACAAAACATCGCTTGTTTTGTTGACATTCTAAGATATTCACACAGAAACTATTTCCTGTAAACGTGACTTCCGATTCATTGCTGCCATAGGTAAATAACTAACATAAGAATTTGCGGTAACACTATTAGCGCTTAAACCAGTTATACGATAATAAAGTAAAAACAATGTAAATTACCTGTTTGTAGCAGCATAACAGACTGTTTTGTACAGCTTTAATAACTACAAGTATTCCGTTGTCAAACACTTACATTTAAAAGTGTCCGTTCCCGCTCTTACGATAAGATTTTTTCGTGTCTTAAAACAAATGTGGCACGCCTGCGCAAACGGCGCTCTGAACCGACCAGCTTACTCGTGTCAAAATGGGTGATGTTAATGAAACGATTCAAATGTATTGCTAAAAAATTAAACTCTTGAAAAATACACATAGGCTAGAAGTCTGAGATACATCGTAGATGAATATTTGAAACCTACTGCTCGTTGGGTAAATTAGACAAATACCAATCATAAAGATGTCAAATGATAGTATTGAAATCCAAAAATAAAGCAGTTTATAAGCGGTGCACCTGCACTAGCAATGCAGTGAAATGGGTAGTAAACTTCCAGTAGGGGTCAGTATTACATCTAGTCACTTGCGATAAGGCTCATGTTCCCAAAACACACAATCCAGACATGTGGCAATTTCCGTTCTCAAAATGCATTTTTCAGTATCCGTATCTAACGACACGCTTAAATTAGCAATAAAAATCAACATTCACATTACACCATCACCACATTTCTATGCATCAAGCTGACTGTATAGGGATTAATACTCTTATGTATTAGCATTGATGAGATTTAAATGAATGGACGTGAAGGGCATGTGTTTCAGAGCTGCAGTCGCGGCCCACGGGTTGTCGTTTAGCGCCTGCCACACTTGTTTATACTGCAGACTGGTTCTCAGGACAAAGTGAGAAGCACATAGCCTGTCAATGTCAAAATATCTCTCTGTGGGGGAAATGGTAATGAAACAGTCGTGATGAAATCCTAACAGGAGCTTGCAGCTTGCCTGCCTGGCCTCTGATAGCTATCTAGGAATTCTATCAAAAATACAATGAATTGAAAACTCACATCAGTACAAGGTAACAAAAAACCTGTTAGTGTGTTAGTGCTGATGTCTGGAACACAATAAATGCAGTTGTGTAAATAGATACAAAATACATCAGTGCTGTTCAAGTGTTAACATCTTTTTTTTTTTTTTTTTTTATGTGTGGATTTATAATATGGATAGCCTATATACTGTATATTTGAAACCAAATCTGGCAGTAAAATGTGTACCAATCCCAAAGAAAACCCCAATAAGGAAGAAATGACTCAAGACACAGGACAAAATAAATCACAAAATGGTGATTCTCCATTAGTTTATATAGCAGTTGCAACCTGGCTTTAAAAAGGTTCACAATTCTCTCAAACACTTTGTCTAGCAACAGGAAAAAAAGTTTTACTTACATCTTCAATACAGGTTGTCTGAAATGTCTACTTTTTCACAGATATTTTGCTTGTTCTCAGACGTTCACTATCGATGGTGCTGAAGATATGCGAGTATGGGGATCATCCTGAATCCTTGCATCTGACAATTACCTCTAAGTGTAAAATGACATGAAGGGAAGACCAGGGCCTGCTTCATACCTTCCTGAAATCTGATAGACTTGATGCTTAAGGTTCGAAAATTACAAAAATGATAAGGTATTGTCATTCTTTGTTCTCCGTTCAATCAATAGAGGAATGTTCACCCATCTTCTCCTGCAATAAGATGACCTGAGATAAGGTATATGCAATTACCTAAGAGAAAAAAAAATGGAAATCAAGAGGTGCATCTATACGCACAGCTCTCCTTCTAGAGCATAGGTTGTGTAGGATTCAAAGCTATTCATTTTAGTGGCATCCATTTGACTAAGGACATAAAACACATTCAAAACATATTAATAAAAGGTAGCAATATAGGCCAAAAGGTATTCGAGCATCGTTTTAGCACCTTTTCAATTCAATATTAGAAGCTTCATCACATCAGCCCTCACTGAGCCCTGGTCTCGCCTGTTTTACACAGCAAACAACATGACAATAGGAGGTCAACATCTGGATTAGAAATTAAAGTGAACAAAACCCTATGCTTTTTTTAACTAGCATTTTTTTCCTTGCAATGTTTCTGCGTTAGGTGACATCCACATCTGCACATAAAAAGTATATATATTTTGTATTTATATAATATATATCCATACTCTATTGACAGATCTGTCTACGATGAGCTTAAGAACCACTGATTTTCTGGAAGAAAAAAGCAGATTTTGTAAATGTCTATTTTACAACACAGCGTCAACTAATTGTACATCTTTGGAGGGGAAGTAGCTGTCAAAGACTGTGTCCCTCCTTTTCTCGTTACAGTGTGAATGCTGTCAAAACACATTGTTTTTAAAAAAAGCATTTACAAACGGGCATTGACAGAACCAGTGACTTGTCGTTAAATGTAATTTCAACAGCACCCCTTGGGTCAGGGATTACTACGTTTGGCACATAACTAAGCACAGATCACTCAATGGTTTGTGGAATGACCAGTCTTCATGTTAGTTCAGTTGGGAAAAAAAGAGAAAAAAACGGACAGATAGGCCTGAAAATGTTCTTAATATTGGTGGTAAACTCTGTCCAGGCAGTGATGCTCTGTAGTTTCCT